TGGGAGAGGGGAAGTCTGGTGGGGATGACTGCTAACATATGCACTTGATGTGCACGCGGGGGAACAGGAGGAAGAAATGCAGGGGGAGCGGAGGGGGTACCAGACCGAAGCGATCTCATGGCCTGCCCAAATGGGTGTGCGGCATGGAGGGCTGACGGTGCGGCGGGGTGAGGTTTCGCGGCTGTTTAGAAGGGCGGCGCGTGGGAGTCACATCTGGGAAAGTGCGCTGGCAGCGTAGGGACATGGAAGGAGGCTTTTACATGGGCGAGCGGAAGGCCCAATTTGTGCCCATTGGCGCATTGCACCGGCTAGCCAGGCGTCTGCGGCCCTCGGGGGCAAGTTGTGTTGCTAAGAAGGGTCGCAAGCGTGTTGGCGACAAGGGTTGGACAAGGAGGAGAGATGATGGTAGGGAGAGTTTGGGAGCCAAGGTTTGGCAAGGGAGGGGCGGGGATGGAAGTGAAGGCAACGGGATGAAAGGGAAGAGTCGTTAGGGCAGAACGGGCAAAGGGATGGAAGCACAGGGATGGGAACGGGATGGATTGGCAAGGGGTGTCGCGGGGAGAGAACGATAAAAGCATGGAAGCTGGGGGAGGGAGTGGGCAGGGGAAGGGATAGGAAAGCAAGAACAGGGACGGTGGTGAAAGGAAAGCAAGGGGAGGTAAGGCAAGAGGAAGCAAGGGGTGGGGAGGACAGGGCGGTGGGAGAGCTTGCGCAGAAAAGGGAATCGAACTGGCTATACCATCCATACCTTTCAGTCCATGCTGGTTTCCAGTTGGAAGTCTCCGTAACTGCAGGAATGGTATGCGTATAGCAATCAACCGTTCTGCAAGCTCGGGAATGCCTTGCAGCTCAGGTGGGACCTCTGGAAGTTCTAGCCCGTTGTCCAATGAAAACCTTGGGCACCGGTCCCTACAAATGCTGCCAAGGCATGTGTGGCATATGTAGCCCACACCACGCCGTGTTACCCAGCCCGCTAGATTGGTAGCCCACTCCTCGTTGTGTCATACATGTTTTCCGTTACCTCCACAACTGATTGCCTGAACAGCTTGTGTTCGCAGCAGCAGCAGGCATATGAGCAGGTCTCTGCAAAGGCAGAACTGCAGGCTTCCTCTGCTGCTTCAACTGAAGTATAGGTGCACCTCTGCACACCACTGTTTTCGTCGAATGCTGGCAGTGCCTCGTCACCAAACTCGTCTTCTGGGCATGGGTTTGTGGGTGTTATCACTGCATGTTGGTCGCAGCAGCTAGTATTCAGTGGTACGCTCTCTCCAGTGCAGCATTCTTCCACCAACCTTCTCAGAAATGCACTCATAACAAACAATGTACCTATACCGCTCTCCTCTTGAGCGCGGCTTGCAACATTCTGACCTTCGTCTATGCAAAGATGCATTGTCGTCAGCGAAACAGTGGTTACCTTTATATGCTTCACTATGAGCAACCATACCTTTTTGACTTTGTTCCTTCCGCAGTCGATTCCGCACCATGCGTGCTGTAACACTGGGCCACCCCATTTCAAGCAGCAATGTCTGTGGCGAAGCTTCCTTTCCAGTAGCCTCGATCGTTTTTAATGCTTGCTTAAAGCCTGCTGATCTTCAGTACACCACCGGCAGCGTTTTTTGGGTGGTGGCGGACCAGACATCTACACTTCGTTAACAGCTGCTTCATTGGAGCCGCTACCAAGCCTTAATACTGTACCAATATTGGTATTGTAAATAAAGGTCCCTAGTTGCTTCTTGGTAACATTGGCAAATCGAGTGTCCTTGCTCAAGCTTTTTGCTAGGCGCTTGACAAGGTGCTTGACAGTAAGTTTCCATTCTCTACAGCTATACGTTCTGCAGCTTGTTGCAGCGCAAGCAGTTGGTCATCAGTCCAGCGGCGTTTGCCCATGCTGCTTCATTAAGCCGCTAAGTAGAACAGCGTTTCAGGGGCATAACCGCCAACCGTGTAATGTGAAGTACATGGAAAAAGCTGGAAGAAGCACGCAGAGTGTAGAAAGCAATAGGGCGGTGCAGGACCTACGAGCTGAAGTTGTCAAGTGCAAAGAAGAATGCGCACAGAAGAACAACGACCTGAACCACCGTTGTCCGTCACAAAAAAAGGTGTCAAAATGCATTGTTAAAAACATGAATCAATAAAGCATAACACACGCTATCATGAGCAACGACAGCGGGGTGTCCAACCTATGCATACAGGAATGGAGTCGTTCTCAAACTGTCACAAAATACTTTAATTATGAATATAAGACTCTGCGCCGCTCCATCTTGTATAGCTGGTGTACATAAATGCCGAAACTAGTTTTCGCAGTTTCGACGCTTGCTGTACAGGAAGCTCCTTTCTGGCGAGCGTGCGGTATTCAGCCTTGTAGGACTCTAGGATGTACAATGTGCGCCCTCTGAGCGTCAGGCATTATGTTTGTTGCATGAAATCAGTGGTGGTCCCGTGCCACCACTGTATGTCGCCTTGACCTAGTCGACAAAGAGCCCCATACCGTGCCAGGGCTTGGCAATGGCACACAACATTGCATAACAACTTTGCTACCTCTGATATGCTGCCTTGGAGGGTTGGATGCTTGGGTAACAGTGCTGGGGCTGCCATCCCATCTAATTCCATCGAACCCCACCCCACTCTACCCCACCTGTCCCACTTCAACTACACTCCTCCAATCCCGTCCCCTTACACCATAACGCACCCATCACTTAAGGACACCCTATTAGGAAGGCATATAAGGGGCCTCCACCTGCTGCGTGCTCCCTTTAGTGCCTTCTTTGGGCCAGCTCCAGCCTCTCAGTGCGATTGCGTGATGGCCCTACCCACAGAACGATGCTTTTAACCAATCGCAACGCATTTCCATGAAAGAAACGCTTTAATTTAGAGGTTTCGCAGTTATTGCATAGGTGCAGGGTTTTTGCACGGAGGCCAATTTGTTAAGACAGTTTCGAAGCCGCGCTCCAGTTACCGCTCGGCCCAAACCGAAGAATGCGATCACGCGGCCCCGCCCCTGCAGTCGTGGCTGGGCTCTTGCAAGCTCAGAGACAAGGCTCGAAGAAGGGACAAGTGCATGCATGTCTAGAACGCTGTTTGGAGATGATGACGCAAGTACACATTGAACGCATGCAGAGATAGAGGGGGGATGGGGGTTTGCCATAAGATGCATTCGCAGCCAAATTAAAAACAGTCTGCAGAGATCCTTTTCAAAAGAAATGGAGCGGCGCAGAGTCTTAGCAACACATTAACAACATAAGTATTCTAACGGTACTGTGAAGGCTTCCTTGTGTATAACTACAACGACTATCCGTGATCAACAAGGGATGCCAAACAGCAACTGTAAAGCACGTGTACGACAGCCCCTTTCCGAACAGCAACGTTGCACCTAAACAACAGACAACAGGAAAACACGTAACGTAGTTGTTTTGAACATTCACTGATCCAAACCATAATACCAACCTCATTTCCATTACCCATAACAATGTTGTCTGCGCGTGATAACAACTGTTCTTCTAGGTTCCGTGGCTTACACATAGCAATAGTTTGGAAACATTGTCAATGTTATGGCTTCGTGCGCGATGTTGCCTAAGTAGGAAATTTTGTAAGGACCTTAAGTCCCGGTATTCCCTATGGCTTTTCCCTTGCTTCCACGGCGCGGCCTATCGGCGCGGAGCGCCTAGAACCAAGGGCAGGCCAAAAAGGACTTAAGGAAGAAAGAGGAGGAACAGTTACAAGACAAGAGATTAATGCGATCGGTGTTGAGGTGATGGCTGATTTTTGGGCACGGATTCGTTCCTTTGCCACATTGAATATTCCCCCGAAAGGTTGGGGTAGAATGCCTAGACAACACCCTTTCCTAGCAACTGATGACAATGGTTCAGTGGTGTATGAATCACCACCAGGTGAATAAAACGTTATCCCTTACTTGAAGAGGGACAATTGATCCCAATGACTTAAGTTTGTGGCATGGTCTATAAGGCCCAAAGGGCTGTGCGTCGCACTTGAGTCGTTCGGACTCCCCTTTGAGTCGTTCGGACTCCCCTGTAAAATCGCATACTTAGGCTTGTTGCCTTAATTGTATCCATTAACGATGCTTACCCTATGGTAGTATGACGAGGACAGACTGATGCCGTGGTGATGCTGGGGGAGTGTCAACAATAAGCGTGCGGGGCTCACGGCCACGTAAGGGATAAACCCGTACAGGGTCCAACTTGTTTTGCCTCCTGCCAGATGCTACCGGTACTGGATCCTTGATGGGATTGGAGGTCGTGGAAATCTTACCGGAATACTTGCTATAGAGCCAAGCAATAGTCCCAATTTCCCCACCATGCTTTGTAAGGAAACCAAGCTTATCAGGATGCTGGGTGGCCACGACAAGCTTCTGCTCACTGCACATTGGGCTGATAACGGTATGTTGGGATGATAATATTCATGTAGGCGGGCTAGTGGCCGGGTGCAGCCGTGTTGCTGCCCCTAAGTGGTGTGGCAGTTAGGGCGTCAGCTAGGTCCTGAACGTCTCCATCATGTACAGTTTGGGAAGGCTGACGTCCATCCCCAACACCAGCCGGTGCTGCGCCATTCTGCATGCCAGCCGGAACTTGGCCACGAGGTGCTTGTGAATGACGTTGCTGTCCCTGTGAGTCTAGTGAACTAGTGAATCCCAAACGTCACCCATGCAAGAGAAGGAGAGGAGCTAACAAGACCTTAGTATGCCGCCCCCTCTTCTACGTGTCTGGTAACTGGTAACTGGGTAACTGGCTGCGTCCTCAAAGTCGTCCGAGTCCCCCTCGTCTGCTGTCGCATAGCCCCCACTATCGTCGCTGCTAGTGTCGTCGCCATCGCCATCATTGCTTTCAAAGGAACGCCGGCGATACAACAACAGTATAGTTACATATCCATCCCAGTCATAGGCCTCCTCGGAATCCTCATAAGGCAGCTCTGACTCGTCGCTGGACATGACGCGATAGACACTATTGAGGCTACCGTGACACTTTACAGAAGGAGCTATTATACCCTACAAACGTATGTTTAGTTGCAATTAAATACAAGTTTGGGCTTTACTGTGGCAGCTAGCCAGTGCCGGTGTCAGAGAATGAGCTCAGAGTTTGCAGGCAAAATGATAAATAGCCACCCAATAATTTACCTAGACCCCTGCGTCAATATTAAGGTAACCAGACCGAAGCGATCTCATGGCCTGCCCAAATGGGTGTGCGGCATGGAGGGCTGATGGTGTTGTGTGGTGTTGGGGGGGCTGACGTGGCTGCTTAGGAGAGTGGCGCGTGGGTGTCCCGTTTGGGAAGGCCACTTGGCAGCGTAGGGGCATATGAGGGAGGCTTTTACAGTGGTGAGTGGAAGGCCTGGGTAGTGCCAATGGGCACATTGCACCGGCTAGCCAGGCGTCTGCGGCCCTCAGGGGCAAGTTGTCTTGCTAAGGTAGGAGGGTCGCAATTGTGTTGGCAACCTGGGGGTATCAGAGGCACAGTTTCGCTGTCATCAAAGTGCCGACGTAGCATTTGCTGGACGCGGGTTAAATCGGCCGGGACATTTATGACGGAGCCTACAGGAATGGGGGGGGAGCTAGGTTACATACCGCTGCGTATGGGAGAGAATGGTAGGAGCCGGACACAGAAGTAGAATGTGGGTATGTGTGACATGGGAAGGCATGGGGAGAGTCAGGGAAGCAATTACAGGATTGGGGATGCAAGGCATGTGTTGGGTTGGACAGGAGGAGAGATGATGGTAGGCAGAGTTTGGGAGCCAAGCTTTGACAAGGGAGGGGCGGGGATGGAAGTGAAGGCAACAGAATGAAAGGGAAGTGTCGTTACGGCAGAAGAGGCAAAGGGATGGAAGCACAGGGATGGGGACGGGATGGTTTGGCAAGGGGTGTTGCGGGGAGAGAACGATAAAGGCATGGAAACTGAGGGAGGGCGTGGGCAGGGGAAGGGATAGGAATGCAAGAACAGGGACGGTGGTGAAAGGAAAGCGAGGGGTGGTAAGGCAAGAGGAAGCTAGGGGTGGGGAGGACAGGGCGGTGGGAAGGCTTGCGCAGGAAAGGGAATCGAACTGGAGAGGCTATACTATCCACACCTTTCAGTCCATGTTGGTTTCCAGTCGGAAGTCTCCGTAACTGCAGGAATGGTATGCGTATAGCAACCAACCGCTCTGCAAGCTCGGGAATGCCCTGCAGCTCAGGTGGAACCTCTGGAAGTTCTAGCCCGTTGTCCAATGAAAACCTTGGGCACCGGTCCCTATGAATGCTGCCAAGGCATGTGTGGCATATGTAGCCCACACCACGCCGTGTTACCCAGCCCGCTAGATTGGTAGCCCACTCCTCGTTGAGTGTGTCATGCATGTTTTCCGTGACCTCCACCACTGATTGCCTGAACAGCTTGCGTTCACAGCAGCAACAGGCATATGAGCAGGACTCCGAGAAGGCAGATCTGCAGGCTTCCTCTGCTGCTTCAACTGAAGTATAGGTGCACCTCTGCACACCTCTGTTTTCGTCGAATGCTGGCAGTGCCTCGTCACCAAACATGTCTTCTTCTACGTGGGCAGGGGTTTGTGGGTGTTATCACTGCATGTTGGTTGGTCGCAGCAGCTAGTATTCAGTGGTACGCTCTCTTCAGTGCAGCATTCTTTCACCAACCTTCTCAGAAATGCACTCATAACAAACAGCGTACCTATACCGCTCTCCTCTTCAGCGCGGCTTGCAACATTCTGACCTTCGTCTATGCAATGATGCATTGTCGTCAGCGAAACAGTGGTTACCTTTATAGGCTTAACTATGAACAACCATACCTTTTTGAATTTGTTCCTTTCGCAGTCGATTCCGCACCATGCGTGCTGTAACACTGGGCCGCCCCATTTCGAGCAGCATTGTCTGTGGCGAAGCTTCCTTCCCAGTAGCCTCCATCACTTGTAATGCTTGTTTTGAAGCCTGCTCATCTTCTGTACACCACCGACAGCGTTTCTTGGGTGGTGGCGGACCAGAGTTCTCCACTTCGTTAACAGCTGCTTCATTGGTGCCGCTACCATGCCTTAATTCTTTACCGCGATTAGTGTTGTAAATGAAGTTATCTAGTTGCTTCTTTGTAACACTGGCAAATCGAGAGTCTTTTCTCAAGCTTTCTGTAAGGTTCTTCACAGTAACTCTTCTATTATCTGCAGCTATACGTTCTGCAGCTTGTTGCAACGCAAGCAGTTGGTTATCAGTCCAGCGGCGTTTGCCCACGCTGCTTCATAATAGCAACACATTAACAACATAAGTATTCTAACGTTACTGTGATACGCTGCACTGTGAATAACTACAACGACTATCCGTGTTCAACAAGGGGTGCCAAACAGCCACTGTAAGAAAGCACGTGTACGACAGCGCCTTTCTGAACAGCAACGTAGCACCTTAACAACAGACAACAGGGAAACACCACTCGGTCGTTGTTCCGAACATTCACAGTAGCACCACTGAACACCAACTTTATGCCCATGCCCCAAGGCAATGTTGTCTGTGCGTGCAAACAACTGTTCTCCATGGTACCGTGGCTTACATTTAGTAATAGTCTGCAAACATTTACAATGATATGGCTTTTTGCGTGATGTTACCTAAATAGGAAATTTACCTTGGACCTTAAGTCCCGGTATTCCCTATGGCTTTTCCCTTGCTTCCACGGCGCGGCCTATTGGAGCGCCTAGAACCAAGGGCAGGCCAAAAAACTCAATATGCGTTCACATTGGTCGGGCGTACAGTGAGAGTCGAAATGCCGCGACCGCGACCGAACACGGGCAGCAAGGCAGGAAGCTAGCGGCTGCGTAGACCTGCCAAGATAATCTCTTCGCCGGCCTCGACTGGACAAGGGACTCTGAGCTCGTCTAGCCATGCAATAAACACTCAAACTACAGTAGACAAGGGGGTTGCGCGTCCGCGTCCGCTTACAGTAAGCAAGGGGGTTCAGCGTCCATGTAACAAGGTCTGATACGTCAACTGGTGCCGTAGAGTCACAGGAGCGCATTCCGTGCCATTCCAGTGGTAGTATTACGTTCCTGTACTCAATAGGAGGGGCTCCGCCCTTTTCCAGCTTTGAGGAAGCTGAACCCCCTTGTCATTCGCTTGTTGTTTCATTCTACTTTGCCGCTGTTTGCGACCTCGGTGCAGGTACATACACGAGGTACAGCAGTACAGACATAGGGCATAGACCCGGTACAAAAAGGACAAAATGCATTGGTCTGGCCAACTTTTACCGAATTCTAAGGCTACGCCCCTATCGGGGCGAGCCAACCCTAACTAAAGAGGACGGTGATAAACACTTGCCCTTCCTCACTAAGTGGTGGACACAGTGTACTGGTGTACAAGGGCTATATCACCCTCCAAATCATTAACCCCTTAACACACACCATGGCTACGCCAGGCATAACGACCATAACCAAACTAACAAGAAGCACGTGAATCCATAGCAGGCCCTATTGAGGAAACGAACATCAACGATGCTCCAACCACATTAACACAACGTGGCAGCACAGTCATTGCGCATGTATGTATTTGCCTCTAAAAGCTGAAAACAATGCTATGACCCAAACGAAGTAGACAACCCTGCAAAGCCACAGTCAGCGAACTATCTTGTCAGCCTGTGTGTTAGAAGTCAGATTTTCGCCGGATGCTGCACGATGCATATAACAGCGGTGATGTCGTCCATCTTGCCGCCCATGTATGCGTAGCCGGCCTGCATGGGAAGGAGGGGTGGCGAGCGCACATGGTGTAAAATTATATTGTGTTGGACAACCGGATGGCCGTGCACCAGACGGCAAAGATAGGATATTATTAATAGTAGCTACGCCGGGCAAGCCCTGGCGTGTATAAAGGGGGTGGGGCCAGGGGGGGGGTACATTTTTTTTGGTAAACCCCATGATGAATTTTTGGTGGCGACCCCTCCCGGACCCACCCACCCACCCTACAGAACTTCGAACGCTATTTTCTCATATAGCCGTACGCCAAAAAAGACGCAAAAAGACCAATGGATTCCTTTCAGTGTTCAACTTTCTGTGTATACAACTTGTTGAGCTTTTGCACCTACTAAGTCATGCCATGGTCGCACCATGCCATGGTCACGCCATCCAACCCTATAGACAGCAACGGGTGCACCGTTGTACACTAGCCTCATACACACGCACTAGTGCGTCAAGACCAGCAATTACCAGCAAGGATTAGCAGGGCTCAAACAACGTGCAGCGGCTGGCACAGGTGACGCAGCTGCTGCCGAGAGACCTGCCCCGTTCTACTCCCCTCAACCCCACCCCAGAGATGCAGCACGTAGGGGAGCCGTGTCACATGGTTAACTTCCCGGGCCCCTTCTGCTTGGCTGGGCAGACCACCTGCGGGTGATTCCCCCCTAAGTGGAGGCACTTGGACCCGCACCCTGCCTGCCCCCCACCGACCCATACGTGTTTTGGTATCTCTCTGACCACCCATGCGTGGTAATGTCATCATACCATGCCCAAACAATATCAGGAAGAGGCGAAAATGCGTTTATAGACTGCTTACAGTATGTTTATCGTATAAATGTACTTCATAGTGAGTTTGGCAACGCCAGGAAAAAGTTAGGAAGCCCTCGGAAAAAAACCACTGGACCCCCAGACCCCACCCACCCACCCTGCCATACAGTCACCTTTGGGCGCAGATAACGTTTTCCGTACAACCCCAATTAAAATTCTGAAAGCAGATTTGGAATGCTCTCAATAAGCTCTTTAACTTTGAATCATGGGGTCTGTCCTCGCGTTTCCTACCCCCCCCCCTGGTGGGGCAATGAATATCATTCTCAGGAGGCCAGCACCACCGTTGGTGGGTTTAGTTAAGGTCCCTGTCCCCCTCGGGATTGCTCGTCGGCTCGGGATTGCTCTTTCTATTTCTGCTTGCTTTACCTGCGCAGCCTCATACAGCCTCATACAGCCTCATACATGCCAGCCTGTGTTACAGTAGTGCAACAACCGTCCTCATGTGGGTGCAAATAGGACCGGACCGAAGCGGTCTCATGGCCTGCCCAAAATGGTGCGTGTTGACTGTGGTGGGAGCGCCCTAGTGTGCAGCAGCATGCAGGTGTCGGTGGGGAAGTGCAAGCGAGGGGCTTCCAGTTATATTTCAGCGGCGGCAGCTGCGTTGACAGGGAGGTGCAGAGCACCTCTATTACTGCTGTGTGGCATGCGGGGGCAAGGACAGCAACAACAGGCAGGAAGCAGCATGAAACAGAGACAGGAAAGCAGGGACTTGGCATGAAGGGTTGACAAGGGAACAAAAGGAGTGTAAGGGTGTTGACCTCATTATCAAGCAGGCAATGGCATGGAAGAGGTTTCAGGTGGGGTAGCCAGGGGGGGGGGGGTAAGAAATTTTCTTATTAACCCCAACCCGAAATTTCCAAAGAGAAGGCCTCGGAGCCACCCACCCACCGCCAAGCGTGTCGTACAACCTGTAAACTATGCCAAAATGCCCGGGAAAAAGCCTCTAGGTTTCTCTGCGCAATCTTCATTAAATGCAGTCGAAAAAACCCAAACCCCCTGGGAAGTTAATGTCACAGCGTTGCACTATGGACGGCTAAGGTAACCATGTTCTTGGCCCCAGCTTGACTGATGTTATGTATTTGGCGCCTAGGAATGAAGCACCACGGCCCTTCCATTTGCGCCATACCACCGCCAGTTCTGTTTTCACCAACCGAGACAACGGCGCCACCACGTTCCAGGTCCCTGCTCCTGCCTCTTCTTCCCCCTGTGGCACCTGGCCCTCGACCATAGCCCCTGGCACCAATTCCCATGACTTGCCGTGTTCGCAGTATATGTTTTCTACATAAGTTGTTTCTTGTACGTTTGGGGATTGGGCAGTTCCGTTCGGCTACCGTGGTTCAGAGGTGAAGTGTCATTGGAACAACGGAAGCCGAGAAGTGACCATTTTGTTGACAGAACAAATTCTGCGTATAAGAAACGAAGAAAGGATGGCAATACAGCTTTCAGAACCCTAACATGAGGCCTGGAAAAATTTTCCGGTTCATGTAAAAAAGTCGTTGGGGCCCTGAACCCACCCACCCACCCCTGCCGTACAACCAACTTTGCAAGCCCATAACATTTCCCGTACAACTCCAAACAGAAATCTGAAAGCAGATCGGAGTCCCGACGCAAAGGGTTGAGGGATGGGGTCTATTTTTGCGCTTCCTAACCCCCCCGGGGTAGCCAAGGTGAAGCTGTGGAAAGGTAGGGGTGAGGCAAGTACATGTCCACGACTGTTTTGGTAGGCATGCTGTTTGGGTTCATACCTCTCAGGCCATACTGGTTTCCAGCTGGGAGCCTCCTCAACTGAAGGGTATACGTTTGGCAATGAGCCGTACACAGATCAGCTAGCTCAGGAACGCCGTCTAGATCAGAAGGAGTCTAACAAAACTTAAGCCATCGTCCAATGAAAACCGCGGGCCGCGGTCCCTTCAGATGCTGCTGAGGCAGGTGAGGCAGATGTGCCCCTTGCTAGTCCGTGCAACCCAGGATGCTAGATTGGTTGCCCACTCTTCGCAAAGGTTGTCATACATCCTGTCAGTGACCTCCACAACAGATTGCAGCAGCAGCACACATAGGAGCAGGTCTCCGCAAGGGCTGCTCTACAGGCTTCATGTGCTGCCTCAACTGAATCGTACATGCATTTTTGCCGTCCATATCCTGCCAGTGCCTCGTCACTGGCTTTGCCTTCTTCTACAAGGACACGTTGCACATGGGTCGCATTCGTTCCCAAAGTTGATGTACTTCAACCATCACAATTACTGCGTTGGCTCGCCCCGATTAGGGGCGTAGTCTTAGCGTTCACTCAAATTAGTCCGGACTGAGGCGTTATGTCCTTTTTGTACCGTGTGCATGGCCTATGTGTATCCCTTTACATTCTACATGTACCTGCACCGAGGTCGCAGATTCGGTCGGACAAGGTGGCATTGTATGTGTTGTTGTGTTTTGAACATAGCGGCATGTCGAAGAAAAGAGAGGTTCAGAGTTCAGAAGACGACCCACATGTCGTACATATCGGAGGAAACAAAGCGCTGTTGGATAGTTTGTGTAGATGATTCGTAATCCAAATAGCAATGTCATTGTATTGTTGTAAAGCTTGAATTAACATTTAGCCCATAAGCCAAGGTATTCTTGTTGTGCATCCCTCAAGGCTATTTTGCCTCTTGCAATCAACTAAACTGGTAAAGTGGATATGTAGAAAGTTTAGTTGTAGATCAATACAAACAGCTTAGCAAAGGCAGCCGCTGCCGTGGCGGCCGCAGAGCCACAAAGTGGGCATCGTCCCGCTACGTTGACGTTTACATTCGTTCATTCATTTCGTTCGTTCAACGGCCACCGCTGAAAAGTGGATCGCACGACGTGCTAGATTGGCGTATTCGAGGCGTCCCTCGCCCGACATGGCCTTCGTCGCAATCCTGTGGGCTATCGCTCTGGCGATTGCTTCTTTAATGCCTTTCGTTGGCTGTTGTTCCAGCAACACGGAGTTGATGTGGGTGTATCAGCAGTGCGTCAAGCAGGGATTGGTGAATTTCGCCTGTGTTACGGCGTTTTTGTGGAAGCCTGCGAACGAGCGCGCATGTTGGACCCAGGCACACCGCATGAAGAGCTTAGGCATGATGTTCGCGCGCAGTTCCAAATCGACAATCCACACGTGTCGCTGGCTGCAAATACAGCCACAGCCATTGCTAACGAGGCAAGTTATGCACGCACCGCATCTGTCCTAGACAAGACGTGACAGCGAGTTCTGATTTTAAAAAGAGGGCGAGCCCCGGTGTCTGCGAAGCTGACGGATTTCTAAGCACAACCAACCTTCAGAAGCTGCCCACTTCCGTAGGTGCTAGTAAATTTGCGCGTAGGTTGCTGAGCTGCCTTTAATCTCCTTTGCGACGCAGCAACCTTCCTGCCGGTTGCTTGCGCAGTGCGTACCGCGTGCTGGAATGCAGTTTCGTCCTCAGGTGACCACTTTGTACGCTTGCTTGGAGGAACATTGCTGTCGCTAGAGAATGGCTGGTAATACCTTCGCCCAGCTTTCTTGAAATTCAGAAATCTGTATATTCTGTAATATGCCCAGCCACTAAAGCGCGTGTCGGCTACAACTTCTTCAAATAAAAGCTTAGCACTAACAGTGAGTCCACGTGCAATAATGGCGTCAGCTGCTTTACACAACGCCTCAATTCCCTTTTGGTTCCTTTTGCATCGGCCCACGCTGCAGTTGGCCTGGCTAAGTATACCAAGACATATGTTAGTGCAAGTTGCATAGTGTTATTAATGGGCACGCCACAACTAAGCAACAGTTAGTATCGTTCTGACCTAAAAATCCCAATCCCAAAAATGGTCCAATCGAAGCGCTGGTGCTTTACCATTAACAACTGGACCGAGGAGGACCGCGCTGGCGTCCTCGCTTGGGACTGTCAGTATGTAGTGGTTGGTAAGGAGGTCGGGGAGTCAGGTACGCCGCACCTCCAGGGGTACGTGGTGTTTCATAGCAACCGGCGCCTTTCTTCGCTCAAGAAGCTGCATGGCGCGGTTCACTGGGAGAGCGCGAAAGGCAGCTCCACGCCTCCGCCAATGGGGTCTCATGACACTCTCCTTAGGGTACGACACTCGTTTGCTGTGTCAAGATTTAGCAAAAGTGACCTTTTCATGAACACTGCTATTGCTAGAGCAAGTAAACAACGCTTGTCATCACGCCAGTGTTGTTTGCAACATAGGAAGGCCCCCTCCTAGTTAGGCTTGGAACATCAGTCTTAACCGCCTGCGATACAGTGTTAGCCATTGGCAATACTAAAGTCCATACATAACGAGGGTAGCTCGTGGATGTACAACACACCCTACACAAACAGGAGCCGTACAGCTTGCCAGGTTATCTGTGACCACAATGGCTTTTATGTGGTGCTCACAATGTTAATCGTAACAACACAAAGGGTAGGTTTGGAAGTAGGTTACAGATCTCCATTGTCCGCAATCTTACTTAAAAACACTTCTCGTGGTACCGTTGATCCCACAAACCAATAGTATTTGTTACTTAGAAGCGTCAGGAGAGCAGCGACTATAGCTTTTTAAGTTAGAACCTACAGCTCGTCCTACTCGTTGTGTCTTAATGCTTGTTTGCTCCATAGTTAGGCATTCTGCCTTCACTATTGGAGCTTTTGTTGCTCGTAACTCCCCACCGCCCGCCCTGAGCGGGGCGGGCCAGCAGGGCTCGGCCCAGGTTCTAGGTCGCGACAGCACACAAGGGGACGCGGAGCAAGGAGAACCGCAGCAGTGGCGGTATAACGAGAGCGAACTTTAGATGTGGTCCATGCCGCCCACGGAGGCGGCGGGAGCCCTGAACGCGTGTAAGGTGTCACCCCCGCTTCACACGGGCTGTTGGGTTTGAGCGCCGCTGGCGCACTCTTGGTTTTCCCTTTGGGGGATGTCGGGGTGCAGCGTGTAGGCGTTTTGTGCTGCGTGCCGTGTTTTTCCACCAGCCGGTGTGGCTGCGCTGGAGAGCGCTCAGACGCTGACTACGCCCGCGGGCGGTTGCTTGTACGTTCTGTTCGCGCAGCGGGTGCGAGCGCACGCCGCTGCGCTGAGCTGTGTGCTGTCGCGACCTTCAAAGCTCCACCAATAGTGTGTACGGCCCAATCCAATCCCTTGCCGTGTTTCAACGGCTTCACGTTTCATGCACAACTGAGCCCAGTCGGCCTGCTTTACGAGCTGTTAAGACTACAGTATAGAAGCAATAGTATACGTAGGTGGCGTATGGGTGTGGTGCCGATTCTGATCTGCGTGCCTAACTGTTTTCGAAGGATGGCTTCCTTGGTGGGGCCTTTCATTCCGCGGTCCCTACTTGCCATTTTGTGTAGGATGCTGGTGACCTCTGCGTGATTCACTTCATGGGAAGTCCAGCCCACTCTGAGAATTGTGTTATCGCATTGCCGTTGGAGGTGAGCCGTGGTGTTGGTGAGTACTGCTAGGTCGTCGGCATAAGCGGCCGAGCTCAGGTTGCAGCGCTTGTTGAGTTGCTCGCTTAGACAGCCGTACCGGTAACCCCGTCCCCCTACATGTAGCCATCTCAGGGGTGGTTCCATCAATATAATGAAGAGAATGGGGGAAAGGGTGTCTCCCTGTACCGTGCCCCTGTTGTATGAGAGCTGCCTCAGGGCGATCAGACCAACGGGAAGTCTTCGTGTGCGGCACTACCAAGTGCCTACCCTAACCCTTCCCTACCCAGTCGTGTTTCACATCTATGGGGCATTGGCTTGGGACATGCTGCTATCGTGCTATGGCAGGCCTTCCACTAATGGTATTTTGAGACCCCTTCCACCTAAGTTTCTACCCCTGCTTGCTTTGCCCCTTGTCCCTCTGCTTTCTTGGCTGTGGCCCTTGTTTTAGGACGTACGATGGATGTAACCTCACTGCAACCACCCCGCATTAAGTCCGGAAGCGCATGCCAGTGGATGAAGGTTTTGGAGAGTTTGAATCCGAGTCTCTCTAAACCTCTTACTTGCCTTTTTCCACCCCCCATCAGCCCCCTTCACTGTACCCATGACCCCATCTGACATCTTCTCCTCCCACCACTTTTGCTTCACCCATCGGATCAAACTTAGTGATTTAGCCGGACTTCTTCATGAACATTTCCAACCCTGGATTATTATTCGTTTTGCAAAAGCGTTTTCGCTACTACAGTGGTATGGTATATGCCGGTACCTAGGGGAAAATAGATAGGAAGGGCTGTCGAGTGTTGGCCTGGGTGCGCTGGGCGCGTCAGGGCCCCCAGCTTTTCCCCGTGCCATGCATTTCGTTATTAGGCTGAAGGGTGTGCGTGGCATTACTTCCAAGCACGGTTGGGCAGAGAAACCGATTGCTACACAGCAAAGCTACAATAGCTCCACGTCAACTTTGTAAAATAAATCTAAACTATGCACGCACAGATGCCAGCCGCTAGCACACGTTTGCGTACTGCTTACCATAGGCATGCCATATGCTTAACAGTCCCTTAATACAGCAATAACCACATGTCAGAAGGAAGGTCATAACTATTACCTTCACATGTGTTGCATGAGAGTGCGATTGGCAAGGCTCATAAGTTCTCTTCGCGTTGAAGCCCTTCAGCCTATAGCTTGTAGGATGCCATTTTACACGAATCCACCGGTAATGTATGGTCGGCGACCCAAGGGTCACCATCACCACTGCAGACGTTTGGGCTTTGTATCTCGTCTAAAGTAACCGCCCCAATGGTCAGCATAGCCCTTTAATAGGTATGGCCTTGTCGCTTGCACTCTTGCATATGTTAAAATAACTGGCCGCGAGGCGAAACGTACTGTGATTGCCGAAAGATGGAGTCCTCCCACCGAAAACGCCACAGGTGAAGGTACGCATTGGTGAGCGACCCAGGTGTCAACATCACCCCTACAGCGCGTTGCTTTTAACAGCAGCAGGGACAAAGGTGAAGCACGTATGGTGCGATGATGCCCGCCTGTTGAACAGCGTCATAGTGATAAAAGTAAGACCGAAAGTGAAAATGCGTAGGTAGCGCGTTCCGAGCCATAAGTATAGGAAGTAGGTGCCCTTTCTCGGAAGGTGTGAAAGCGACCCATGGGTCTTGGCTTTTGGGGGGGGGGGGTGTTGAAGCCATTGTTAAAGGCGGCTGAGGAATGAATGGGTCTCCGACTTTTGCTCCTAACGGTCCATGTCGGGGCGCGTACATGTGATAATTCGTGGCCCGACGTGTAGTACAGCTTCCTTTGTACAGCAACACGTGCGGGAGGGGGTTTAGGGGGGAGGGTTTGTAGCAGTATGTCATGGTCGTTTGTTATTAGACGCGAAGAAGTCCACGTATAGGGCGTGGAGGTCTTGTTTCGTGAGGCCAGCATCTTCTATCGCATTGAGCAGATTCTGTGCACGTCTGCGATGGCTAACATCGGCAAACATAGTGATTTGGACTCGGGTCGGCCGTGGATACAATTTGGCTGAATGCAAGTTTGTTAGCACCGGGGTTCTACCCCATGCGGTTCCCAAATTCGCATTATCCACGTAGCTTCTTTAAAGCTCATAAAGTCGGCCTCGGTTTCTTAGGCAATGAGAGGTGCACAACACAACAATAACACACTTATCGCATTCCTGTGGCGGTCACTGGCGTTAGGAACCGGATATAGCCAACCTAAGTATATCAGTACCACAAGGATCCGTTGCTGTGGCAAGGGAGGGGATGAGTGGGATGGGTTCGCCTTTTCGGCTTTTCACCTTCAGTGAATTGAAACCGTGTAAAGTGAAACTGAAACCCCTCGGCTTGGCAATCTGCACCCCACCTGTTCTAGCTTTCTGGCGACAGGTATGCATACAAAACAACACCGGGCCATTTGGGGCCAAGTCCAGCATACTGATTCCAGCCTTGCTAGGCCAGAGCTAACCATTGCCCGACAAAGAGCATTAGGAGTACCTACGAAGGCACTCACCGTGAAGGCTGCGTATGCAAAAGGTGATGCGAACTTGGAATCGGAGGCCCGGTGCCGCGCGTAATGCGCAAGCACCTGCGCCATCTTGCCGACTTCCATGCGCTGCTCGCAGCAGTACTTGAGCACGGACGCCACCTCCTCATCGAAGCAATTGTCCCACAGCCCGTCTGTGCCCAGCACGATCAGGTCGCCCGGCTGGACAGAGACCTGGCCGTGAGTACAAGGGATATATCCCCGCAATAAGCACTTTGCAATCCTGGATGTGGCATACCAAACCGTGTGCTGTAGGGTATGCACATCTGGTACGTGCCAGGTATGCTATTCTCCTCATGGCATTCCTCCTCCTACGCTATGTTGCATAACATGGTGCACAAATCATACTAGGCCATCTCGTTGTGGTACACTTCTGGTACTGGACACCCAAAATAAAAGCAACAACAACATGCAAATGCTCAACCGAAAGCTGCCCCTGTACCATGCAATACTTGATAAGACTAGGACTAAAGTAATTATCGGTCTTAGACCGTGTACCCGGCGCACCTCAAAGCGTTGGGCGGTTGAAGGGTGATCCGACATGGAGTCAGCCGAGCCGATCTGGAACGGAAAGTTGAATCCGTGTTGCTGTTGCGGAGTATGAAAGGCCACGGAACCTGAAAGGGGAAGAGCGGTTGGCGGACTAAGGTTTCTGTACATGCTATATGGCAAGGGATCCATGTGGCCCTGCACCTCCTCCTCCACCTGAGACGCAATGGCTGCCAGACTGAACGGTGCTACCCGTACCCGTACCCGCAACGACCGCCTGGAGCTTCAGGTGGTAGCCGCGTTGCAGGTCGGGCGGCAGGCGCAGCAGGCTGGCGTCCGTTTGTTCAACGCAAGGGAATTGCAGGTGTATATCAAGGCACGTTGCGTTCCTGGTTTACTTTCCTCCTTTGCAATCATCTCAATCCCTGGTGTTAACATTATTGTCTAAACGGTTTACCTTGTTAATAGAGGACTCTGGAGAAGCCATACTGTGTGGGCCCAGCTAGGGTCTTCCATGGGGACACTGCCACCCGCAAACTCCACACAAAGGCAAGAGGGGCAAGAAATTTATATATAAACCCCATGATGAATTTTTGAAAGGGTAGGTCCCGGGACAACCCACCCACCCCTGCCGTACGGCAAGCATGTCGTACAATGTGTAAACTTCGCCAAAACGCCCGGGAAAAAAGCTGATGGACTCCTCTACTTAAGCTCTATTTAGTGCTAAACAAATACCCAGAACCCCCTTGGGAGACGGGCAGAAAACTACCACCGCCACGTCCCCGACCCCGGCCCCTGCCTCCTCTTCCCCCTGTCGCGCCACGCCTTAATCCTTATCCCTCACTCCATTCCCTCGTCTGCTGCTGCTACACCCGGTGCTTTCGTCGGTGCCGTGCTGAAGCACCTTCCCCCGAACCCGCGAAATATCCCCTTCGCAGCCGCTGCTGCTTTTGAGTGCTGCAATGCGACCCTCAGCCATGTGACCCATCCTGTCGCGCTTAAGAACTGAGTGGAACTTCTCCCTGATAACAGCGTGCAGCTCCGTCAGCTGTTCATCGGGGTGGGCGTGCTGCAGATGATCCGGGTAGTTGTACCACACGCTCCACATGACCTTCATGATACGATTGGCAGCACATGCGGTGCACACAAATAGACGCGCTCACGACCTCCGCATCTGCTTCTTTCTCTAAAAGTTGTTTCTTATTTGTTAGGGCAAATTGGGAATCAGGTGGTTCTATTTGGGCTATTGTAGTTCAGACCTGAAGCGTCATCGGACCCATGAGAAGCTTAGAAATGTACCTTTTGTTGCTGTAACTAGTTCTATACATGAGATGAAGAAAGGAATACATTACAGCTTTTAGAACTCTCACCAGATGCCTGGCAAAAACGTTCCGGCGTGTCACCTAACAAGGGGGTTCAGCTTCCTCAAAGCTGGAAAAGGGCGGAGCCCCTCCTCTTCAGTACAGGAACGTACTATTACCACTGGAATGAATGCGATTACAGGGGAGTCCGAACGACTCAGGGCCTTACATACCTGGAATGGCACGGCATGCGCTCCTGTGACTCCACGGCACCAGTTGACCTAACACACCTTGTTATACGGACGCTGAACCCCCTTGTTTACTGTAGTTGGAGCAGGCATGGCTAGACGAGCTCAGAGCCGCCGAGGCCGGCCGCCATGGCGTACATAGTGTCCTCACTCATTGCACTCATTGTTAGGTTACGCCTGTTCAATCGAGTACTCAGTAACGTCTTATCATGTTTGCGCTACAGTTCATAGGCATTATGGCGCACAAACCAATAGCAAAGGCTAGCAACATCGTCACAAAGGATCGTGTGGGCTCTGAGTAGTACAGTAGAAGCATGCTCCTGCCGACTTTCACAGGTTGCCCTTTGCCGGCACGCCGCTGTCACCAATTCACTAAATACTGTTTACGGTACCAGGACACACCATAGAGAAACGCTCATCGGTGTTGCCGAGGTGTTCCTTTTCAATGGCTGGTCAATAATTTGTTTATTGCGAAATCAAGTTTGTTTGCCTTGCAGTTATTTTTACTGAATACTGATAACAAAAATCTATTAGGTGCAATTAAGAGTTTTGTCTAGTTAGTATGTTTTGCCGTTTCGGACGGACGGACGGACACACGGACATGACCCATCCTGAGGGGCGAGCCCCCCCGAAGCCGCTTCGCCCAAAAACGTCGTTGAGGCTCCGGACCCACCCACCCACCCCTGCCGTACAACCAACTTTGCAAGCCCATAATTTTTTCATTAGAACTCCAAACAGAATTCTGAAAGCGGATTCGGAATCCCCACGCTAAGCTCCTTTAACTTGGATCTTGGGGTCTATTTTTGCAGTTACTACCCCCCCCGGGAGGGGTGAGAATTTCCAGCTTTTGGGGTAAACTGATCCCAAACACTGCTTGAAGTATAGAGGAGTTTTTGAGGGTGGTTTTGGGGTGTGGGGTGGTCCCGGGGCCGGCCAAATTGTTTCCAGCTTTTTCCTGACTGCGAATCTTTCAACTTTTTTCTGACAGCAAGTCTCTTTGCAGAATCGTTATTTTTACGCTTGGCTCACATAGTACTATTGATTTACGCACCTATCCTTCACAAACACTACATATACGAGCACATAGTTGTCGATGCCATCCCAGACCCGGCAATGGTGACCCACTCTGTCGAAGGCTGCTTCTGCTTCTGCAACGAGCGTTGATATATTTGCTGCAATAATCCCTGTAAGCACCCACAATGTTTCGGAAGCAGTTATCGGCACAGCCGGGCAATCTTAACCGACCTGTCCCAAGTTCTTTCCGCCGGATAGCAAAGCCAATTGTGAAAAACATGTGGAAAAGTGCCAGCAACAGCATGCAGACAGGCCAAAGCAGGTCGCTAAGTGGAAGTGCCCGGACTGTCCTTGGGGCGGGTTTCACGACAAGCAAGAATGACCTCCGACCTTCATGCAGACAGTTAGGGCTACTGTTTACACCATAAGAAACCTGTTAAAACATGGACGTACACGAAATTTCCATTTTTGGACAATTTTGGGGTGGGTGGGTGGTCAAGAGTGGGTCGCCGGACGTTTTGCTCTTACTGTCAAATGATTTTTCTTCTCACCCTCCTGACAAAGGCTCCAGTAGTAGCGCAAATTGCATGTATTACAATAGGATTACTAAACGTGTTTGGCGAAATGATACCAAGGCAAAAAAGTACAAAGGTCACCGGGGGAGGAAATAGACCCCACGCCCCAAATTGAAGGCGGAAGGGAACAGCCCAATTCTCGAACGTTTGAGAAACAACACATGCAGAAGCAGATATCGCGAACGCGGCTAGTCGGCCCGGCGAACACAACTGAGGAGGCGGGGTTGGGGTAGACAGACTGAGCCGCGAGGAAGCACTTACTGTGTCCACGATTGGATGGTGCTTCATAGGCGCGTAACAAATATCATCAGTCAGGGTTCAAGCTGGGGCCAAGAACATAGTTACCTTAGCCACACTAGTGCAACGTTGTCACATGAACACGTGTGCGCATCTTGCGAGGGGGTTTGGGATTTTTCGACTGCATGTAATATATTTTGCGCAGAGGTCTTAAGGCTATATTCCCGGGCGTCTTGGCATGATTTGGGTGGCCCCGAGGCCTTCCCTTTGGAAATTTCGGGTTTGGGTCATATAAGTAAATTGTTTACCTCCCCTCTGAAGGTCAAAGGACAAGGGAGTTCAGCTTCTTCCTCAAAGAAGGATACCCCTGAAAGTCAGTACTAGTCCAGCATGTAGAATGTATAGAATGGACAGAAGCAATAGTTGAAGTTCTTAAATACTGCCAGCAATGTGTACAACGTCTGTTCGACTCTTCTAATTGTCCAAATCTGCATGGAGGTGACCTGCAAGCCAGGACAACGACCTAACTGCCAAATGGAAGAGCTATCAGGGTACCGCACGCCGTTTATGTTTCACCTACATTACCGTAAGGATATGAAGTTCAACTATGTCAGCAAAATGAGGAGAGGCTTGGCATCACCCTCACTTCGGCACCGTAGCGCGTTCGTGTTATAGTTCATAGGCATTATCAGGTCAAGAGCATAGCAAAGGCCGGCGGCATCGGCGTATAGGCATGTTTGGGCTTTAATAAGATGCAAGCATGCTCCCGCCGACTTTCACAGGTAGCCCTTTGGCGGCACGTGGTACCGTGAAAGCATCATATAGGAGCAGTAATCGGTGTTGCCGCGGTTGTCCTTCTCAATGGCTATTAACAATTTGTTTGCTGCGAAATTATTATTTGTAGGTTAGGCAATCCCTAGGAATGGGCACAAAGTGAAGAGGGCTTTTCAAGGCCATACCAAGCGCTCAAGAAACGCCAAAGGTCCCGTGGCTTGCATGCGTACATTTGGCAGCTCTCCTCCAGACTGCAAATAATAAGGGCCTTCAATTCCGAAAGCCATGTCTCCCCACCGCCTTCACCGTAAAAAAGTGTATAACGAGAAATGAGTGTATCCCAAGCATTAGGGCCACCTCACCACCGCGCAGTATGAGAAGTCCGGAGTCCCCAATGTTGGACACGGCCAGGCTATCTCCGTTGAGGACCGCCACGCAGGCGGTTGAGGAGCCGCGGACGGTGGTGAGAGCGTAGGCGCGTTCAAGGATGTCCTACAGAGGTTAGAATTTGCGGATGCTCTCGTACAACAGTGTACATACACAGAGCATCTTAACCCACAACGCAGACAGGATCCAATGCACGTGCAGCTATCCTTTACAATGATTTCACACTATTGCTCATCTTGGCCCAGTACGATACCTCTGTTGGGCCCTATTAAGCAACCAATGTGCTTGGATGGTGTGACGAGCAGCCCCGCAAAGGACATGGTTGTACGACTAGCCAAACCACAAATGGCCCCCCAAACCTATGGAACAAAAGCGTATTTCAACCTGGTGCCCAATCCCACCCGCACCACCTGCGCTGACAGCTTCGGCTGCTGCCCGCTGCTGCTGGTAGAGGCGGCAGTCGTTTGGTCCGCCACCTCCGCGGCGTGGCTCATGAGCTGGCGTGCATAGGCACCCGCGTCCACGCCCACCTCGGCCTGCAAACCCATGCAGCCGCAAACGTAAGGGAATGTTGCGCAAAGGTTAATGAGCATCAGAAAGGGGAGTAAAACTCTGATACTCTAAACCCAACATGAAAATTTCCGCGATAACGCCCCGGATCCACCCACCCTTACGGCAAGCATGTAGCCAAAACAAGACATATAGCCAAAGCGCCTAGAGAACCATTCGCTCGTCCTACTTAAGCCCTATATTGTGAAAATGAAATTGAATATTCTGGGACAATCGTCAAAAGAAATAGTATGGTCAAGTGACCGTAGGAAAGGGGACAGGACCACATAATAAGCACTGAGCTGAAGAAGCTGGCATCTACTCCAAAGCACTGAGCCCCTAGTTGGTGTCTTGACACCCCATTGTCCAGTTCGAGACTGGCATGCAAGCCGCATCTCCTTCCATTTGTGCACCACTGGACTGTCGCTTAGGAGCGCTTTGACGTTTGGCAATGTGTCTCAAGCGTGTCTAAGCGCAGGTGTTAGGCAAGTGAGCTACCAATGCAACTGGACTGTTTCGTGAACGTTATCGCTTAGGGGAAGGGCTTAGGGATTGAGTTTAGGGCTCTGTGACACAAAAGGCGCCTGAAGCATGAGTTCGCGATGAGCGACAGAATTGTGGCTTTTTTCTTCTCTGTCTTCCAGCCTTTTGGGGCGGAGCCCCCGCCGCAAGGCGACTTCGAGGGTGGGGGATGCCCCCTAGGACTGCCCCTGTCCGTGTGTCCGGAATGGCAAAACACAAAAAGACCAGGCAAATGTAATTCTACCGTTCATATCAGCGATTATTTTTTGAGTAATATATTAATTTTGGGTAATAAATAAATGCTTTGCTCGCGGGGGAAAGTAATTGCAAGCACCGAAGGCGCACGGTACGGCTATTACTCGGGGCCGAAGGCCCCGAGCCATGAATGTAGGGGCCGAAGACCCTGTAACAGTTATAATAATGATGTTTCGTACTTAGATACATCAATCCTGGGCAATGAAGTCTGTCGGCAAGCCATCTCAGGTGGGCATTGGAGCATTCTTGACCGGGCAGAGTGCCGCAAAGTACGCTACACCAGTTGAAGCTGTAAATAGGAAGCGTGGTAGGCCACCTAAGGAGTCCACCAAAGGCATAGACGAAGGCGACTTAGAGTTAGCCAGCCTGCCGGTCAACATTCCCAAGAGAACTTGCAAACTCCGGCCCAGCCAGCCAACACTGCGCACCGCCTTGAGCCTATAGCTGAAAGCGATGATGAGGGCCTTCCTCCCGACGAGAACGACGACAGCGGAGCCAACGCGAAGCCACAATGGAAGCAGCAGCGACTCGTCAAGGGCCAGAGCAATGGGAAGTGGCGTTCCGAGCGCAGCGCGCACAAGTTTAAGCTCGCCTGGCTGGCCTCCTTCAACTGGTCGGAGTGCGTAGCAGCTGACAGCGCTGCAGGCGAGGTGGACGACAGAGCGCGGTGCACGGTCTGTTCGCTGGTCTTGGGCTCAGACCAGCTGATGCAGGCGCGTCTAGCAACCCTTCAGGCCCACGAGAAGGGACAGAAGCACCAGGAGTGCGCTGCAAAGGCGGCGGAGGTCCGAGCGGAGAAGGAGCTTGAGGCGGTGAATCAGCAGCAGCTTGCCTCCATGTTTGCAGCAGCAGAAAGCCAGTCGGACCACGAGCGCACAGTTCAGCTGCGCCGACTTGTCAGTGTGCTCTTGAGCGGCAGGCCTATGAGCGACTACTGCAGCGGCAAGGTCGAGTACAACCAGAATAAGGTACGCAGGAACGCAGCAATGCAGGGTTCCTCCATCAGCTGTAAGCGTGCCCCGGTCTTGCTTAACGGCTGCTATGTTGAATGCAGTTTGAGGGCGTGAGCAAGAGCCACTGGAGCGCCAGTTCGGGCTGGCAGCTGGCCGAGGCCCTTGACAGCGTGGTGATGGAGGAAACACGGCGGGTGGTCAGGGAGGCACGCTTCCTGAGCGTCAGCCTGGATGAGGCGACCAGTGTGGATAACCGCTCGCGGCTCAGCGTGCACGTGTACGTCATGGACGAGGACTTCCGCAGGCACCCGCTGTTCTTGGAGGTACGTGCGGGTTTAGCTCCCTTAACCTGCCAACGTGCCAAGTAGCCATGCCGTGCACCGCTCACTAGTCTTATTCTTCTTCTCACTTATTCACTTGGTGTTCCTTCCCCGTTCAATCCCATCCCCTACTTCAGCTTGCACGGCTGCGTGAGGCGCTGGACGCGGAGTACATGACCCGCATGCTGCTAGACGTGCTGACGGAACGCGGGGGCCTTTCGGAGGTGGAGCTTGCCCAGAAACTAGTGTCCGTCAGCACGGATGGTGCCGCCGTCATGACTGGCCCCCACAGCGGCGTCGTTGTGCGGACGGCGCTCAAGGCGCCGTTTATCATCGGCATCCAGTGCATGGCGCATCGCACCAACCTTGCTGGCAGTGCGATGCGCCGGCACGTTTTGGTGAAACGTCTCACAGACGTCATCCACGCGGCCTACAACCTCCTGGCGCGCAGCTCCAAGCGTGTCGAGGAGCTGGAAGCTGCAGCAGCGGAGGCCGGGACGTCGGGCAATAAGCTCTTGAGGGATGTGGAGACAAGGTGGATCAGCTTGCGCCGGCCTTTGGAGCGGCTGCTGGCGGAGTTAACGGCGCTGCTGCACTTGTGTGTCGACCCGACTCAGCGGTGCTCTATCATCAGCTGACTAACGTGGAGGTGTACCTTTCCCTGCTTGCCCTGCAACCGGTGATGCAGCTCCTGGACTGCTTCATCCACCTCTGCCAGCGCCGTGACCTGTATATCGGCGACTTGGCAGCAGAGCTGAGCCGCACCAAGGCAAAGCTGCGGGAGGCGTACCTTGAACCCAGCACTCGGTACAGGGGGCGCGAGTTTCGTGCTTTCCGGACGGCTGGTGCTGGCAGCAGCTGGGAGGTCAGCGCGGAGGGGGGTGTCCTTGGCATCACTGTCGCTGACACCTTCCATGCCTTCAGCGGTGTGCAGCCTCACAACGGCCAGCCTGGGCGCCGATGCATGAAGCTGCGACCGCTGACAGCCGAGCTGCTAGACAGCATTGGTGCGGCAGTTGAGACGGCCACGTCAAGTGCCGTTGAGCTGGTTGTTGGCGAGTTGGACTCACGCTTCGCTGACCATACCCTGCTGGGAGCGTTTGTGATCGTCTACACGGACTACTGGCTTGGCAACCCGTCGGTGGAGGACTTCAGGGCTAAGCTGCAGGTCATCAAGGACCAGTACGGCAAGGGGAGAGCAGGCCCTGGTGGTGGCATGTTGGGCGCCGTTGCTGAACAGCAGCAAGCTGGACAGCCAGGCGGACATGTTCGTGACCGCCATGACTGAGACCAGCAAGGCGCTAGAACGCGAGCAGCGGCTAGCACGGGCCGCTGGGCCCCGCCGACTGGATCTGCTGAGTGAGGAGGAGGAGGAGGGAATGGAGGAGGAGGAGGAGCTGCCGGTGGCCCGCAAGAAGAAGGCCCGCTCGTGTTCGTCAAGGTGCCGGGCTCTGGGAGGACGAGCGGCGCTTCTCGACGATGGGATTCATCCAGAACAAACTTAGAAACCGGCTAGAAAAGCACATAGGCCTCTGCGTCAGCGCGTTTACGCAGGAGTTCTATGACATCGTAACGTTTCCGTACCAGCGCGTACTGAAGGCCTGGAAGGAGGCGTCAGTACGGGGCCGGTACATGCACCGCTGACCGGTGCAACCTGGCTTGGGACGTGTTTGCTGTGCTTTTGGTGTAGTGATTTGACGGCGTGAGATTTGGGCCGATGTATCATTGTGACAGTAGAACCAAACAGAGAAACGCACGCAGTAGGATTCCGCATGGGACACAAATGAACATTCTGTCTGGCATGAGAGCACGGGGTTAAATCCAGGTCGTGCTGTGAAACTCAGTTATTAGGCACGCTGAAGTTGGACTACAGGGCGGGGTCTGTGGGGGGCGGAGCCCACCCAGTAGCAAACTTTTTAGGTGTAATAAATAAAACTCTGGGACTGGGAATTTATTACTCCCTTCGTAACAAACAAATCCTCCGGAAAACCAGGAGGGGTGAGAAGAAAAACATTTTGACAGTAAGAGCAAAAAGTCCGGCGACCCGCCCTTGACCACCCAACCACCCCCAAAGAAGCCAAAAATGGGAATTTCGTGTACGACACTGTGTAAACAGCTTTCTTATGATGTATATAGTACCCCTAACAGTCTTCATGGAGGTCGGAGGTCATTCTTGTCGTGAAACCCGCCGCAAGACCAGACCCCGATTGGGATTCAGGTCGGATTGGCGCCAATCCGACTGCCAATCCACCCCGATTCGTGCACATGTGAACACGCCCTTATCACAGGTCGTCGATATTCAACACGTCGCTGTTACCCATCCACTCTATATAAGTTACGTTACCGGTGAAACGTATTACAGGAGCGGTAATCGATATAGCCGCAATGTTCCTTCTTGATGGTCAAAAAACGTTGCGAAATAAAATTTGTTGGGCTTGCAATTATTTTTACTTGTACTAGACATACGTATAAACGGTAGTTGTAGAGATTAAACATACATATGAACACAGTGATTTATTTTTCAGTTTTCCCAGGAGGGGTGAAAATTTTCAGCTTTTGGGGGTATGAGGTAAACTGATTCCGAAGACTGCTAGAAGTATAGAGGAGGTGAAGAATAATAGCCCTTTTAATCTATTTCCCGTCGATTTCGAGGGTGCTCTTGGGGTGTGGGGTGGTCCCGGGGCCGGTCAACTTTTTTCCAACTTTTTTTCTGACTGCGAATTTCAACGTAAACTTGCTATATTTAAGCTTGGCTTACATAGTTCTATTGATTTACGCACCTATCCTTCATATACATTTAGTATGCAAGCGCAGAGTTGTCGATGCCATCCCAGACCTGGCAATGGTGAACCACCCGGTCGAAGGATGCTTCTGCTTCTGCAACTAGTGTTGATATATTTGCTTAAACCATTGCTACAAGCACCCAGGATGTCTTAAAAGAAGATATCGGCACAGCTGGGCAATCTTGACCGACCTGCTCCAAGTTCTTTCCGCCGGGCAGCAAAGCCAGTTATGAAAAACATGCTGGGAAATGTCAGCAATAGCATGCAGACAGGCCAAAGAGGGTCGCTAAGTGGAAGTGCCAGGATTGTCCTGTGCAGGTATATACACGAGGTACAGAAGGACTGTTCACGGTACTGTGCCGTACGGTACAAAAAGGACAAAACGTCTCGGTCTGGACAATTAGGTCCGAACGCTAAGACTACGCCCCATAAAGGAGCGAGCCAACGTTGTGCTGTCCCGTGGGCCCGTGATTTACCCATGGCAAGACGCCCCATTAAAAGTCGCGCATTCAAGCTATATTTGATGGTTTGTTCAGTCCTGTCCTGGCGGTTTGAAGGGAGCAATGTTCAGTTTGGCCAAAAAGACCAGCATGGCCTTCAGGTATAACGCTGCATATTTGCAAACGCGTCTATGTGAAGGGCAGCTTTGCCAATGACTTTCGTCATGCTCCCTGCCTTCGGGAAAACTCGGAAAAGAATGCCATTGCGACGCTCTGTCTAACGGTGCCCAGTATTTTATGAGTACACAGTTTTATGTTCAGCAGTTGGGGCCAGTGTAGCGATATCTGGAATAACAGCTTATGTGGAATCCCACTATAGGTGGGGCGTGCCTATATTTGGTCATGCTTTTAGACGCATGGGTGTGTACAAGTCCTTTTCATTGACAACTGCCGTCGTAAGGCATGCCACAATTTCGGCACGCTTCGGCCGATGCTTCTGGTCAAAGGAACAGGCGAGAAGCATGTCGTAATTGCGGCATGTCGATTTCATGGCTTATCCGTATATTAATTCGGAATGTTTTTTACGGTTTTTCCACCCACTTCCTTACTGGGTAAGTCCATTTGGTGTTTTGACTTGAGTCACTCGGGTGGGCGGGATGCGCCGGATCCAATTTAACATGGTAAAGCATTGTCATACAGCTAACTGGCGTGGAGTGTCGCAGCCGTCTGTGGAGCTTGTCTTGTCTCCTTTGGAACCTCGTGCATGTGCCCCATCCCACATCCCCCCTTACATGCATGCGTACAAGGTTTACCTCTGATGCATCAAGGGCTACGACAAAGGAAGCTGAGCGAAGGTGTCAGCTCGCTAGGGACTAAAGCTGCGAACTAGAAAACTGGGGGGGGGTATTTCGACATCGGAGTTTTCATATGGAACGGCTCATACTAATCCACGCGTTTCCAGCAATTGTTGCTGCGGTTGGGTGAGTGCTCGAGGGAGCTACCAGTCAAACCCAGGCACCGACAGTTCGCACGGCCAGCCAACGACGCGCCAAAATCATGCTCCACAGGGACAGCTACAAGGCCGTCTCCACGCTGTAGGCGGTGCTTTTCGTAGGGCCGGGTGACGGTCAACGATTAGACACTACGGTAGTAGTCTGTTAATAGTCTTGAGCCTGAATTGTGTGCAATGGCCACCAACGCCATGTATGCCATGGGTGAACAAGGCAGCCAGCCTCGATTGGGCAAGGGGGGTTCAGCGTCCGCGCAACATGCACCTAAACCAAACAAGGGGGTTCAGCATCCGATGTGTTACTGGTGCCATGGAATCACACGATCGCATGAACCGACATTATAATGATCTGCCTTACGTGATCCGCTGTACTGAAGCAGGAGGGGCTGAACCGCCTTGTCTATAACGTCCCGAACTCTGGAAAGTCTGAGACCGAGGGTGCTTGAGAAGAAAGAAAAGTCTTTTTCCGTCACCTCTTTTCCTTCAGTGTGAACACCGTGGCGAAGTATATCATTTCCTGCCTCGCTCCATTTTAAACATCGGTTTCATAAATAGAAACCCTTAGGGGCCCTTCCCTGGGGAAAGACAGGGCGTTTATGTCGTGGCTAAAACTTGCGTTTCCGTTTACATTGCAGCCGAGCATTTTTTGAGTAGCGATGGTGTTTCCCTAGACGAAGCCACGCCTAGCTTCATTTTGGACTCTTTGCTTCGATTCTCTAATTTCAAAAGTAGAGAACCGAGCAAAGCGGTGACACTTCGCGTCTGAACCACAGTAGCAGAATGGAGGCACCAAGTCCCAAACGGTTAAGAAACAACGTATAGAGTAGATGCAGAGGTCACGAACGCGGCAAGTTGGCTGCCGTTGGAAGGCGATTGTTTAAATGTACAACTTCAACACGTTTAGCTTCCAATGTGAAGGGCTATCTTCTGTGTTTGCATGGTGGTGGACGCACGGCTGCCCGTTGCCGCTTGGGGCAGCCATCAGCCGCTGTAGAGCAGCTTGAAATGCGCTTGCCAGGCATGGCAGCTGCACATCTGCAGCTAAGCCCCCTGGTGCCAATGGACCCTCCCGTCCCTTGCTCGACCTTCTGTACACTCTGTGTCTTTTTTTGTTAACACTTGCTCTGCGTACGGCATATACGTTTTACACGGTGCGTATCACGGTGTGCATATATAGGGTTGTCGGCGTATGTTATACTATATGTTCCGTACACGCATATTTATGCGTATAAAACACGTATAAAGATTAAGGGCAGCGTATGCGAAATACGTACAAAAGCCCAATTCCGTATACGGGGAAGTCTTGTTGTGTATGCCGTACAACAGGAAAACGCCCTAACCCGGCGTGCAGTTAGCGTGTAGGGAGGCTGTGGGCGGCTAGAGATGGGTACATGCGAATTTTGCCATGTCACGCCCTATTTACGTGCGTATGGTGAAACTCGGTATGAGCGTAGACCTAGGCAAGTATGTCTACGGTCGGGCCATGTACGCATTATACGCATATTCAGGCGTATATTACCGTATACCAGCCCCCAATATACGTATACACGACATGCCTATGTATATACCTGACACACATTAAGGTCCCCAGTCCGTTTCTTGAAGGTCCCCCCATGCGCGCATACTTTGAAAAGCTTCCGCATGGAGGATTCTTCTAATGGGGATATGGGATGTGTATTAGTTGGTGTTGAAGTGCCATGCTGCCCATTGGTGCCCCTATCGTGGGCTTTCTCATTTCCATGTCTCCTTTATTGTTGCTGTTTGTAACACGACTCCGTGATTTAGTTTCGCAACTCGGCGCGAAGGGAAAGGCGCTCGATGCCAGGGTATGAATTCGTACTCATACATATCAGCTGTACCACATGACTCGATACACTATTGTCCACATTGCTTTAATTAGGTGCTCGTCTGCTGCAGCACTTCCCCTGTCACAACGCACCTGCTCTGCATTCGTGCCTAGCCTACTGCCATATTTGTTTGAACGAGGTCTTGCAGCTTGCTTGGAAGCGTGTCAGCTGAGCTGCTCGCCGTCTTTCTGCTGCCCACTGTCGCCGCATCTCCAGATATGGTAATGGTCCTCGAACGAGTCCGCCAATCGTAGTTGGCTTTCATTATGGCTGCGAAGGAACCATGTTCATGTTCCTCGCTGCTTGCACTATTCCTAATACGCCTGCTGCAAGCAATGGCTATTGCACTGCCTGTAACAATTATCCTACAGGTTCTTGAAGTGCATGGCCTGTTCAAAGACCTCGAAGATACTTTGCGCTGCCTTTGTTTTAGGTTTAAAATATAAGGTACATATGTCTATTCTGTGCGTTGTATACCTTGTATTGCGTTCTGGCGAGCCGTTTGGGTGGCTTTCTTGGACGGAAAGGTTTAGGTGTGGAAATCCCTTCCGCAATCCGTATGATTGCTCTCCTGGAATCCTGAGGCCGTCTCCCCCAAAAAGCCAATTCGCAGCGGGGGCTCCGTCCCAAAATAGTCGTAAAATACCAGTACTAATAGTCCACCCTGAAACGACGGACCATACTGACAACGGCGACACTCACCCAGCCGCCGACGCCATCCGCCACGCCCACTGCACGACTGTTGTTAGCAATGAAGTACCAGTCCTCGCCGCCCTTTAGCGCCTTATCCGGGTGTGGCAGCATGAAGGCGCCAGCGGCAAGCTGAAGGCTAGTAGGACTGCCAAGAAAACGAGGAGAGAACAGGGACGATGTCAGGAGCCTTGCAGGGACTAAGTTTTGGGGCAAGCACCAGCTGACACCGCCACGCGCCAAACGGCGTCATCCACAGCGTCCTGCATCTGGGGCTAGCCCTGGCCTCAGACCTGTCAATTCTCTCCAGCTTCTGCCACCTAACTGAATATCCCAGATATGGACCCACCTACTCAGTTTCCAGCTGTCCACAGCATGTGCCCCCAGAGCCCCGTGGGCCAAGCAACACATAGCAAGGAAAGGACCACCTCGCGTTACCCGTGAGACGCCGGTGCCCTGTGAGCATGGCAAGCTTCAACTACTTTGCAAACGAAAAGGTTGAAGGGGCGAGTCCGGCACACGTGAGACAAGACGCGCACCTTATGAGGGGTGTTCCATTCCACAACTGCCGACGGCAAACGTTGTCCAAGTAACGTTGCAGCAGTCGGTCGAGAAGCCAACAGCTGGCAACAAGACCTGGGCAATGACCCCTGCCTTGCTGTTGACCGTGCCAGTCCTGGCGTGCAACTAAGCATTGGTGACAGATTGATAATGGTGGTGTCTACGAAACTACTTGAGCGCCGACAGAAGGAGGAAAGGAAGAACATATGCTTGATAGAGCTTCGTAGGCGGTGTTATGCTGTCAAGAGTCAGATACAGGAAAGAAAGTGGCAACCTCGCACACAGGCGTATCCCGTTTGCCGTCGCACACAGGCGTATCCCGTTTGCCGTCACAGGATTTGTTCCTAACAAGCAAGCCTGTGGCAGCTGAATATGGTGTTTAATGCAGTATCCTTTCTTGTTAATAGGGGTGTTTCTATGGGCTTAGGTTTGGTTTCGGACCGATCCTAAGCCAACCTAAGGGAATCTCGTCCCATGCTCGTCCCACCAATACTTAGCTAAGTTGCTGCTAAGTTGCTAAGTGGGGTGACCCCGCTTAGCAACTTAGCAGCAACTTAGCATCGGCTTAGGCTGGAGCGAGTGGAGCGAGTGGAGCCAGCGGGCCCTACTCATTGAGCCTGCAGACCTTCGCATACAGACAAACAGTCGGGGATACTAAGCAAGATGACAAGGTTGTATAGTCGGCATTTTCCGGACCTTGTTTTTGATGTTAAAATGTCCAAGAAAGCAAAATCAACTTCTCAATTGTCAACTTGAAAAATGCGTGTCCTTGCTTCTTATTGGAGAATCCTCCATTCCTTTCATAGAGGCTACATTTACCCGAAAGCAAGCACCGTACTTCCCGTCATTTGCCACATGTATGGCACACTTGCGTGTCTTGTTACGGGTGGTATCTCACGGAGAGGAATCTCCAATTACGAGAATGAGCAGATGCGTGATTTCCTTGAGTCTTGCCGTGTTAACCCCCGTGCGCTTTGGCAGAAGCTATCAGGCGGTGACCTTCCGGCATGCCCCATTAGCGACCCCTCCGGGTGGCGTAGTCACTTCGAGGGTCTTTACAACCATGGGAGGTTTGTGCCAGATGCAAGCAGTGATGACCATGTCAGGAGGATTTTGAATATTATTAATGGCGTACATGTTGAGACGAGCAAAGAAGCTTTGCTGGCAAGCCACTCAGTTGTTGAGCGGCAGGCCATTGCTGATCAGATTTTGAACGTCCCTATGGCTATGGGTAACAACAAAGCCAGGGGCCCCGAGAAGGCCCCAGCTGAGTGCTACCGCTATGCTAAGCGTGTGAGGGCGGGTGACGATGACCGCCAACCGGAGGTTAACGTGATCGTGCCCATCTTGCGTGAGTTACTTGAGCATATTAGGCGTACAGGTGATTAGCCGGAGCAGTTTACTATCTCTGATTTGACCCCTGTTTATAAGCGTAAAGGTGATGTGACTAGCAAGGACAATTATCGTGGCATCGCCATTGGAGGTGCCCTGGCGAAGTGCTATGCTTCCATCCTTGATAGGCGCTTAGCCCGTTTTGGTGTCGACCCCCGGCTTCCCAGACCTGTACGGCACCCGAGCCAAGCAGGCTCAAGGCGAGGTTACGGCACCACGCATCACCTTTTTTCAGTTAGGCATTTTGTTGACAGCTATATGCGTGCGGGGCAGACCGCGCCCTTGTTTGTCTGTCAGATTGATTTTGAGAAAGCGTTTGATCGGGTCCCGAGAGAGCTTCTGTGGCACAGATTGGAGGAGAGAGGTGTACGAGGGGAGATGCTCGCCGCGCTCAAGCGGGCATACGAGCGTGTGAGCCTGCGTGTCAAGCTTAATGGTCAGCGCGGAGAGAAGTTTGAGGCTAGTCAAGGTGTGAAGCAGGGTTGCCCGCTGAGCACTGACCTCTTTGGCTTTTACATTGAGGTCCTTGCCGACTACATTGACGCTGTTGATCGTTGTTTCCCGCACCTCGCCTTTGTCGGCGAATGTCCCACGCTGAATGGCCAACGTTCGCCCAACCTGCTTTTTGCTGATGATTTGACTCTGTTAGCAACCTCTGTACGGCGCATGGCATACCTTCTTACGAGGCTTGAGGAAGTTTGTCGTGCCTTTGGTATGCGTGTGAATACGGATAAGTCGGAGTTGTTAAATTTTTCGCCGAACTCAGCAACTAGAGTTGCCCAAACCGTCCTAGCAAGCATCAGTCTGCGGTTGGGGGGGCAGCCGGTCCCGGTTAAGAGCAGGGCGAGGTATCTTGGGATCAGCTATGGTCCCGATACACCCGATTCGTGCAGGCGAGAGTTGTATGACAGCGGGCGGAAATGCATGTTTGGGTTACTAGATAAGCTGCGCGCGGGGCGGTTTTTTGCACCTGATATAATGGTAAGGAGTTTCGACGTGCAAGTGCGCTCCAAGCTGTCGTACGGTGTCGAGGTGTGGGGCCCCAGTGCCCTCGTTGAGATGTTTGATGGTGTCCCTAGAGCAGGCGCACAGAGTGCTGGCAACGCCGAGTGGAGACGTAGGCAGCGGCGACCAGGTGCCCGTGCCACCCTCTTCGAAAGGGCACTGTGTGACCCTGCAGTGGAGCTCCAGAAGGACTTCTTGCGGCGCGTATCCTGTAGTAAGTTACCGGCCAAACCGGCCTGTTTGCGGAATACTCGCAACTGCCAATGCAATACTTCTGGGCGAAGTGTGTGTTTAACTTCTGGAATAAGCTTGTCAAGGCGGAAGGCACTCTAGCTAATGCGGCTTTTCGGGATAACGTTGCCCTAGCGGCTGCTGGTGGCTTCATGGGTTCGTGCTGGGTGGCGCAAGTGCTTAAGGTGTGCGGGAAATTAGGGTACGACTGGAGGGAAGGGCAACCAGGTGCTGGTACCCCGCAAGTGATAGCCCCCTGGTTAGCAAATCGTGAGCTGCCTGTGCAGCAGTTGCTGGCTGCTTTGCGGAATCGGTTGTTAGCTAGCTGGGGAAGCGAGCGGCTTGTGGTGGCCCCCCGATCCTTTGTGTCGGATGGGGGGCAACCCGGAGTGAAGATGTGTCGTTACAAGCATTGGATGGGATCCCCTTTCACCATGATGAGCTGGCCCCCTTATGCCAAGACGTATATTCCTAGGCATCACTTGTCTTCCCTTATGCGTTTTCGCATTGGCTGTTGGGACATTGCGGTGAATCGCCCTGGTAACGGGGCGCAGCGCTTAGCTAGAGAACAGCGTTTGTGCCAATTCTGTGATGCGCATGTCGTGGAGGATGAGTTCCATGTCCTGATGGAATGCGCTTGTTACGCGCCTTTGAGAACGGCTGTTGGGTTTCCTGAGGTGCCGAACCCCACTGATGCAGATATGGCTAATATTATGTGGAACTTTGATGTTGCTAAATTGGCGAGCCTTCTACATGCTATTTATGCGTGTAGGTCTAGTCGCGCTTGATAAGGTGACCTACCCAGACAGCTTTGTCTCCCCGCGAACTTTTGTTTGTTATTGCACCTCTTGACCGGAATGGTTCGTGAGGTTGTGCTGTAGGGCGGGAGGGCCCTACACCGTACCATGTAATCATAATCGTAATCGCAATTAGCCAGCTCCACTATCACCCCTTGCAACAGAGCCGGTCGAGGGTCATCTAACCTATGGTTATCCCCGTAGCTCGATTCCGAGAAAACGTATACGTAGTATACGGTCCCCGTAGCTCGAAACGAAGAAAACGAATACGCAGCATCCCTAGCATCCCCGTAGCTCGATTCCGAGAAGAGCGAAGCGAAGGGAAGCATAGACCGTTTCCGTGGTTCACGCTCCAGGGAAAGAAATATTCGTGCTCGTCCCGTTCAGATTTGTGATCTTCGCGTGGTCGCGCTCGCTGGTCCCACGGGTCGGTCTTCGCTCCCGATTTCGCGCGCAAGCTTCGTGGTGGGTTAATGTTGTTTTTAGCGTAATGTAACGCCGCTATAGTACTAGTAAGGCCCGCCTTCGGCGGGAGCTGCCCGTAGCTTGCGGGAGGGAGGTGATGTCGAGGACATGCGGTTGCACGCATGCATGTAGGGCGCGAGGATGCAGAAGACTGCTTAAAGCACAACAGGAATGGCAGCGATTGTCGCCAAAGCTGCTAGACGGGTAGGAAGCACGAACGGCTTGTGAAAGCCAAAGAAAAACACAGGCATATACCGGTAGGTGGTGGTGTGCAAAACGGGCGACGCACAGGGAAGGGCTTCGGAAGAGCACTTGTCCTCCAGAAAGCAACGGATCTGCGTACACACTATAGGTGAAGACCTGTCCAATGCTTAACGACGGGATGTGGCGTACACGCACGCAACACGCTCGGGCTCTGCTACTCCTGAAGCCCAAGTAAGCAAGTACAGCATCTGTGACAGCATCTTAGTTGGCAACAAACCAATTCATGGCTACAAATATCTATATATGCTGCAAAGCCGAGTGATGGCCGTACATGCCGTGCCAGTTACCGGCACCCACATGCGCATGCTTACCTTTCCAGCGGTCTGTGCTCAAGTGCGCAGACATCCTGCCATCCTGCCATGACTGCCCCCATGACTGCCCTTCCCAACCACCTGCGCCCAACCATGCATGAACTCCGACGCGTGAATGCATGGCCCCTCCTTCTCCGCCCCTCGCGAATGACCCCGTCCCCGAACCTGCCTTTTCACCTCGTTCCCTCCTTGGATCACCACCAGGCAACAGTGTGCACGCTCATGCGCTGGGCATGCACCGCCACAATACCAAAGTAATGGCTTCCCGCGCATGCAGCCTTCGCCTTTGCCGCCCATGCATGAAGGCATCCCTGCCCTGATAGTCACTGACACCCACCTGCACATGCATCCTCGCCTCTCTCGGCGATCATCCAGTCGTTCTGCCAGGAACAGGCCCCCGTGCGTGCAAGATCACCCTTCTCCCATCCGTGTCCATGGCACCCATCCGGGCATCAGCGCCGATTCTGAATTCATAACCACCTGCCCCCAAAACTGGCACCGTTACATGTATGCATACTCATCATGCACGATTACTGGCTGCCATGCGGGTACGCAGACCCATTGTGCCCGTTTATCGTGGTGATGTACGCATGCATCCCTGCCCTGCCCGAGTACCGACACCAATGCGTGCGTGCATAAAACCCCGCCCTGCTCAGCTACACTCGGCCATGCCATCAGCGGCCACGCCCTGCCCGAAAGCTGACACATGTGCATGCAGGAGTGAAGGCGTTGGAGGTAAGGGCCAGGGGCTCGCGGGTAAGGACAGCCGAGGGCATTTGGGGGCAGGCACTGCACATGAAAGGGCACCGAGGCCCGCGGCAGGCCGCATGAGGCCCGCAAATTCGCTGCACAGGAAGCACACAGGGAAGGGCAGCTCTATGGTTTGTGGTATCGGGAGGCAGCCGCCACCGGGGAA